TTCTCTGGCGCTGGATGAGTCTACTGATCTCTCGAGTACATCACAACGTCTCGCGTTCATTCGTGGTGTTATTTTGGACACAAATCTCAGTAACCTTTTTTGCTGCTTAGTTTGTGAGATTCGGATATGTGCGCACTGGGTGTGATATAACTATCTTATTGCTAACGTCGCCTTCTTTGATAACTTTTTGGTAAATAAACATGTTTGTTGTCTTTATTTTTTGTGTATTCACTGTATTGTATTGAACAAAATGGTTATGCGGCCCGCGCTCGTCATTCTCTCAGTTATCTTGCCCGCTGTGAGGAAAGTTTGATGACCCCTGGGCCCTAACCAAATGATCTGTTATTTGCCAATTTTTTTTGAAACCATTTTGAACTTCGAGTAATTTTTATGTGATCTCCAGAAAAGTGGAGATCATATTGCTAATAATTCCTCCTAACATTTTGTCCACACAACTAGTTAGATTAATTGGTCGCTAGCTTCTTGGCTTATTCGCTGGTTTACTTTCGTTTAGAAGCACAATAATATTTGCTTGCTTCCGTGAGAATGGGATGTAACCAGGGTTGAGGGATAAATTAAATAATGCTGTTAGATGGTCAAACAATTTCTGAGTACCTTTTTAAGGAGAATGGGTTGTATTCCATCCTCACCTGGAGCTTTATTGGTGGTTTGTTTTATTGACGTGATTACTTCTGTTTTTGTTATTGTCTGGGAAATGTGGTGTGTACATATGTAATTTTGTATGTGGCCATCTGTTCATTATGTGTTTTAAAGGTTTTTCTCAACTGTTCTTTCAAAAATGTTCCTACAGTTGCTAAAAAATGAGGAATAATGGTACCTTCGGAGGACAGTATAAATATTTTGAGAACTACACTACCATACTTAATACCAGTGGGTATTTGCAATTTTAAAAAGCTGAAATAGAAGAATAATTTCTCGTAAGTTCACGAAATGTCCCATATTTTGTACACTATGTTCTGAAATTGTTAAGCTACGAAACAGTAGTAGCATTAAATAACTTAAAAAATTCTCTAACATTTGGTCTCAGTGATAATACTGAAAATGCTATATTCTACATTCATACTCTTGTAAAGAAACCATAAATGTTTATATTTAAAATCCTTAGTGAATGAATCGCCTAAGAGTTATAATTATAGATTTAACCACAATTATATGATCAATAAGAACAAAAAACTATAACTATACCAAAAGTTTGTTTAGCTTTCACAAATAGTTACAATTCTAAACCTAAGGAAAAATTTTATGATTGTTTTAAAAATGAGTGATTTACTTGTATTTCGAAACTCTAGAAAGAAATTGACAAGTGCCAGAAACTATACTTTTCTTAAAACCTATTGTTTACAACCATTCTGTGTTCATTTGTTTTCGAAATTTGCACTATTTAATCTTTTCCCCAAAACTATTATGAATGATTTATTTGTAAGAATATGAAAATAATAATCGAAAATTGAATCTTATTCTACATTTTATGCTTATTTTTAAACAAGTTCTTTTTTGTGAGTAAAATAGAAATATAATGCAAAAAGTGTTTAAATGTTGCATTCTCTGTGAATTTGATGAAGACTAATTTATCTATGGTATCTAAAATTTTCTTTTACCCGCATTTTTATTTCACACTTGAAACTAAATATCTTTCTTTGGGACTGATACTCTATTGTAGAGAGACCCCACCCCCACCCGTGGTGGGCAGAGCACAGATAGCCCATTGTGTAGCTTTGTGCTTAATTACAAACAAACAAACAAACAATCTATTGTAGAGTTCTTATCTACACAATACCATCTAGTGAGCACCACTGACAACATTTGTCCGACATCTAAGAAAGTTTGTTGAATCGCTGATGTATTGTTCTTATCACTTATTAAATGTTTTTAATCATCCCTGTAAAATTTGCAATTATTTGGTTGACAGGTATGTATTTTTGAACGTAAAATTGCGGAAAATCGTCTTTCCCCCAGTCCGGCATGATAACTTGTATGGTCCACTAAATGTTTCAAATTAACTGTCATTTCTATAATAATGGATGCAGTATAATATACGGAATTATAGCATAATAACGTTTTCAACAATGTTGTATACTTCGAAATTAGCAAAAAAAAATGCGTCTGGATAGGAATGCCACACATTTCATATCGTTTTCATATTTCATATACAGCTTGAGTTAATTGGTTCGTAAGTTTTCAATTTATTATTTTTTCAGGCGTTATTCGGTCAAAAAGAAAAAAAAGAGATCAAAAATGTATTTTAAACTCTGGTGGTGGGCTCTTTGTTGGATCCCCTCAATAAGATAAAAACAATACTGGGAGATTACATGAAAATGTGAGAATAAGGAAGGTGTTTTAATGATTTAATATAATTGTCTATATGAGTAGTTTACACTGAGAAATTGCTTTGCCCGAAGGATTAGGAACTGAGATAAACTATGGTCTCTTCTTTTCTTCTTCTTCTTCTTAGTCTCCGATTAATGAGAAAAACGGCCTGGACATAAATTATCTTTACAATTTATTTATTTATTATGGGATATTCAGGAAACAAATATCTAAATGAAAATAAAAACTGTTTTAGCGTCTGATGTTATGCTTCGTTGTCAGGTAAAAATTTTACGAAGGTGAAAACAGGACAATTAAAATGTGAAGGGATGGAAACATCTTAATGACTTAACACGATTATGTAAAATAGATAATTTATAATAAAACACGTTTTGCATAGGGTTTTTGTTCATTTCTATTAAGTCTTCTTGAACTTGCATGTTTTTCTAAAATTATGAATGTATATAGGATTAGATATTCAGCGCTTTCACAGCCATTGATTAACGAGAAACATGGACCAGCCAGGAATGTTTCACATTAAATCACTGTTCTAATAATTCCTACGTAGTTTGGGTCAAATACTTTCTAAAAATACATTCACAAGTTGTTTGCTTTGTAGAAGAGCTTCTGTTAAATCAAAATATTTTTATACGTGCTCTTTTAATTTGAATAAAGAAGAACCCTGATTAGAACGTTCCACACACCTCAACATACTTTGCCGTAAAAAAAAGGACATTTCATGTTTGTCAGCTTTTTAAACTTCAAAACCATTTTTATGCGTAACTTATTGTAACATCCCTTTTCGGAATGTTACTGTCAATAATAGGAAATATCAATACTTTTTAGACTTTCTCGGTTATAATTCGAATACGCTTGCAGTGTTGTGTTAGTTACAATAATGTAAATATATTCACTTTAATTATTCCTTATTGTTTTTGGCATCAAATAAATTATATTAACAATGTTTGAGAAAAAAAAATTGGATTAAAGTTTGATATTGTTTTGTTTTATTTTTGGAATAATATATAATTTTTAATTTTAAAAATACTAACTTCGTGGTAACGTATAAACACTTTTATTTGTGTTGTCATATTGTATTACATTTAAAATCTGTATCATAATATCATCTACGAAAATTTATTGAAAACTGTTTGAGTTATACAATATTACCCTTATGTTCTCCACCCACCGCTCTCCTGACGCTTGTGTATACATGTTTGCAGCGCTGTCTGTAGGAGACTGTGTTGTTGTTTTTTCGGATTGTGGATTTACCTCAGAGCAGCTAATTATGGCCCACTAGCTGGAGATTCAAAGAATATCAAATATGTTTTTCCTCGAACTCTGAGTGAAGACGAGACACAGGTGCACAAATCTTTATTATACATAAAATTATAACGCGATGCAATACGAATAAATACCAAGGACAGGTGTGCCCAATGTGCATATTTTGTGTGTCAAACTAGAAAGAGATAATCGAAAAACTTTAATAGTTTCTCTTACCACTTCTATGTGCTCCCTCTTGTAAGTTACTCTACAATCTAGTTAAAAATAAAGGAAACTAGTCTACATATTCAAGTCAAACCTAGTTTTAAATAAAAAAACACAAATATTAAATAAGGCTTGTGCAAAGGCTCGCGTCCTGTGAGCGGCCCATCTGTTCACAACCTACTGGGCATAAAGGGCGTGGAAGACCATAGCTGTTATCCAATTTTTCAACAAAAAAAAAATGTCTCTCTTTTAATATTAGAAGTTATCTTTATCGGAAGACAACCCATTTAACAACCAATTAGTGAATACACATGCCGAGGGCACTAGAGAAAGTTGGCTTACTTGCTTGAGTGCCCCACTGCACCTACACTGAGAATGATGAAAAACAATAATGTAATGAAATTTACTTATTAACTCTTAACAATCTCGCTTATTAAACAAACAAACAAAAAAACGAAAACACAATGTACGTACTTGCGCACATGTAACGACAATCCCTTCTGCTAAGCTTTCTCTCTCTCTCTCTGATGATCTTAAAAGAAAGTCGTTATACTGTAATCTATTACTAGAGCTGGTCCAAGAAAGGGCGCCGAAATTCAGCAAGAAAACCCGTTTTCTATATTCGGTGGACATCTTGTGACTTTTGTTTTCCCACAACATTGGCTGACTGTTACATTTAATTAATGCCATACTTGCCCAACAAAGGATAGTACAGTGCCAATCCTTTTAACCTAGATGACGTATATTATTACAATATCCACTCCGGCAGAATATACTTCACCTACTATAGAAAATAAACGAATCAAATAAAACAAGGTAATTTTAACTTTCCGGACCAGTGTTACAGCACAGAAACTAAATAATCAATAACTTTTTAACTTTCTATACCTCTAAATCAGGTAGGGAACATATGATATGTCTGCATATCACAATCATATCTCTGTTTATTTGTTCAGTAAAATTCTTAAAACTTCATAAACAATTGTGCGAAATAAAAACAAAAAATGAAATTAAAATTATTTTAAGATTTGTTTTACATTTAAAACTTAAAAAAACAGATCCTTGCAACGTTCAGCTTCTCAACTCCACTACGCCTTTGGTAGCAGAGATATACATATAAATATTAGATTTTCCACATTTAGTCTTTTGTTTTCTTCTTGTTCAGCCAACCTTCAATTATACAAAACCAACATACTAATCACCTGCAACCTCGTTTAAAGGTTTGGTTTTGGTTTATTTTCGCTCAAAGCTACACGAGGGCTATCTGCGCTAGTCGTCCCTACTTTAGCAGTGTATACTAGAGGGAAGGCAGCTAGTCATCACCACTAACGAATAGTGGGATTGACCACGGCGAGCACATTTGATTGGACAGAGATTCGAAGCCGTGACTCTCAGATTGCTAGTCGATCGTCCTAACCACCTGGCCATGCCGGGCCACCTTGTGTTAAACAACTGTTAAGAGTTTTATTTTTTACCTTCTGTTTGGCTTGCTTGCTAAAAGTAAATATAACATTTTTATAGTAAAGATATAAAAGAATGGATGTTGTTTGCTTTGAAGTTGTGGTGGACATAGCAAATAATCCAGTGCGGTTTTCCGCTAAAACAAACAATTCATGTTGTAGCGCCCTCAGTGATGGAAACCACATAATATTTCTTATTATTACTTTACTTTTAAAGATTACGTGTTATTAAATGTATTATGTAAATGTTTATTTACAATAAGTATAACAATTATTTACACTTGTGGCAATTTTAGGAACTAAATCATGTTCTTCCCAATTGTTTTTCTTTTAAAAGTACATAAATATTTAATTTCTTAAGAGTGTAACTTAACCAACCTTCAGACACAACAAACTATATGTTAAATTGAATAGATATTCCTTTTAACATTTTTACATCAATTTTCTACGCTTAGCTTTAGCACTGAGCTGGTCTGAGATAACGTTTATATTTAATTCTTCTTGTTAGTTATCAAGAAGTATTCTTATATACTGTGGTCTTTCCTGGTTTAGTTATTGTGTCACATCTTAAACAGGTGGACTGGACTTTAACATTACACTCCAAGACACTCAACTTTTTTATGGAGTAATTTAGATACCCTAGTGTGAAGTAAACGTGGGTCCCAGTTACAATGAGGATAAATAAACTTATGTATAGCACATTTAATGTTTTTAATGGTAGTATGTTATACTGAAACCTGATTACTACCATAACCTTTATGCAGATCTCGACATTGGTTTAAGAATATCTGTGTAAGCATACTTAATGAGACGTTAACCACCTACTAGTAGGAGGTAAGACCTGTTTACAAGTAATTTTGCATCATTTTATTATAACTGTTCAGAGAAACACTGCGTGCATAGTTTCTAGTATTTTTATAAATAATATTGCCAAAAAAGTGAGATTTTTCTTCTTCTCGAAACTGTTCTTTTAATTAAAAGGCTCTTGCGACTAAATCCACACTTTGCAATAACTGGACGCTTCGATTAAATCATAATCTGTATATACCAACTTTAATTAGCCCACTTATACTCATGAATAGTTAGTCCATAATCTAGTTATACATCCTTGTAGATGAGAAAAGCAACCTGGTGTAAAAGTTATTCCTACAAAATTCTTTAACCCGTACATGTAGGAAAGAACATTAGATTTTGCTTGACGGTTGGCTTCGAAATTCAACTATTCATGATTTTTTACAGTAATACACAGGATGCTTCGTAAAATACAATACTGTGAAACGAGAAAACCAGTATACAAGTAAATTGCTGTTTGAAAACTCTTTGTATTTTTTAGCCCCTACCTCATAAAAAACTAGTTTTTATCCATCACGCCAATGTTCTTCAGGGTTAGGCAATAATTATTGGGACAAATATGCATAGCTCAAATATACCTCATTCTATGAAGTAGAAAACCTCATTTCTTGCCTACTAAAACAATTACTTGTTTGTTTTTTATTAATTGTTTGATTTACTGTTTCAGATTATATAACTGTGCAAAGTCGCGGATTTACTTCATGGATCCACAGATTGAAAGAACTAACTTAACACCAGGCAGCAAAGATGTTATCAACGAACCTCTTGTGATACTTGCAAAGGAGTTGCTACCATCATTACACATTCAACCGGGGTTAATGAAGCAGTTTGTAAAGGCTTTGAACAGAGATGGCAACTGTTTCAAATACATTTCTGATCCATTCTTTTCTATAAGGGAAGATAAAATAGAAGCTGGGGTTTTCGGAAACTAATGAAAGATGAAAATTTTCTTGATTCAATGTCAAATGTGGAGAAAGCGGCTTGAATGTCATTCAAAAATGTTGCTGAAAACTTTCTAGGAAACCATAAAGACGAAGAATATAGAACAACTGTTAGCCACATTTTGAAATGCTATAAAAAACTTATTTGCAACATGAATCTAAAATTGCTTTTCCTTCACGGCCACTTGGAGTAGTTCCCTGAGAACCTTGGAGCGGTTAATGAAAAGCAAGGTGAAAGGTTCAAACGAGACATAAAAAACATGGAAAAAAGATATCAAAGATGATGGAATGTCAATATGATGGCTGACTATTGTGGGTCTTGAAGACAGATGTTTCCAAACAAAATTACAAAAAGACATATAAAAAGAGAAAATTTACTCAAATTTGATGATGTATATAGCCAAAAAAAGTAATCTAAAATGATTCTTTATGTAAATTCTGTTGTATTACTGTTATTTTACTCAAATTTCAATAAATAAAGTTCTTTTGGTGTGAAGTTGAAAGTTTTTATTTTCTAAATGTTTCATCTAATATTATTTTTATATAATGCTAATAAAATCAGGAAGTTTTATTATTCATTTGGTGAAAAAATATGATGTGAAAGTAAAAAAAAAAAAAAATGATACCAAATTTGAAATCAGCACCTTCAAATTGTATTACTTCACCTATTTTCAAAAAAACATTTTTTTTCATTTGTATACTAGTGTAATTAAATAAAATAATAAAACCTTTACCAAAGGTCACCTCAATAGAATAAAATAGCGTAAATGGTGTATGTTTTAGATCACAGATTAGATTAACTGCTTTTTAATATACTGCGATACATATAAATGTATGATATATAGATACGTATGCATATTTAGCTAAAAAGTTGGTAGAACATAATATAATTTTGAATAAGAGATGGCGCTACATATCCTAATGTCTTAAGTCGAGCCTGTTTGAACGTTCAGATATAAATATTGACATATTTTTAATAGATATTAACTTGAAGAAAAATATATAAGTGTGATTTCTATAAAAACTAATGCGCACTTCATGACACATAGAAAGCTCATCACTTATTTTGTAGATATTTCTTGGCTCTACACATAGAAAATTTGTCGTTATTATTATAATGATGTAGATAGAAAAAAGTTTTTTCATCTTTTGGGAAAAAGTAATTCTAACAAAATTAAAATAATATCTCTAAAGGGTGATTCATTTGATACATATATAAAATGAGTAAAGTTTTAAGCTTAAAGTTTGTTATCTAATTTAAACTCTTGGTGCTACAAGGTCAATTTATATTTCAAAATTATTTTTCATCAAGAACGATAGGGTGACCTTTGACACTCAGGTTTTATATGCATACATACTTTTTAATATTAAGGAAAAACATATGACAAAAGTGAGGGTTTTTTAGCATGCGGAGTAACAATTGATAAAAATAATTAAATAGGAGCTAAACATAAGTTTGTAACCATGTGTGGATAATATCTGAAACAACGAAATATCCAAACTTCTGGTTAATTACAAAATTAACGTTTAATTCTAAAACGTTAAACTTAAAAACCACCAAAATCTCAATGGTTAGGTTTTTTATCAATAACATTTAACATTAATATAAAATAATACACCACATATAAAGGAGTATGAGAAAAATATTTTAAAGTTTAGTATTATTTTGCAAGCACTGATATATAGAGCTAATCTTATAAATATATCTAAAGTGGCTTTGAATTATTATAATATAAATATCTAGCAATTTAAAATTATATATATTTTTTAAATATTATAATTGGTAAAGTTTATCATCGCACTGAACCATGAATCTAGTATTTTTCGATGGTACGTATTTACTCCGATTAAATGCATTTCAAAGAACTGTTTCTATATTAAAATAATATATAAAAACTTAAATGACTGCTGAGAAAAATAATAGGTGTGACTAATTCCCTTATCAGTGTACAGGCCTCCATATAGTTTACTTAATTATATCAAAAATATATATACTTCAACGAGGTTCTATAATTAGGTACACGTAGTTACCTGCTACGCCCCGTAGATAACCTCTTCATTAAATTAAACTTGTTTGTTATTAATTTCTTAAGCTATGTGTTGGGGAGAACTCAAGCATATAGTGAGTTCAACAACTGCGAACATTTCACAAAAATAGTATTCATCGCTGTTATCTGATTAATCAGTATTTTATTTTTGGTGTTTTTATTTATTTCGACAATATTATATTTGACTGGTTCAGGATATTTACGATTTCATCTGGAAATAATTAGTATAGAGCTGAACATTTCAAGATGGATTCCAGTTTTTTATGCACTGCAACACACCCAAAGTCACAAGCTGGTGTATGTGGGCTTCATGGAAAGA